ATAAGAAAATATATTTTAGTTGTTTTATAATAAATTTGAAAAATCTTTAAAAACTAACATTAAACGTTATTAACATTAGCAAAAGTTATCATATCAATAACAGTATACGTTTGTTCAGCACAACTAAAATTAAAATTTTGAAAAACTTACTTTTTTTTGACTATTGGTTGTTTTCGAAGTATGTTTAACTCTAATTGTAAAACAATTTTTGCACTTAAGTTTTAACTATAACTTAACAGTTGACAAACAAAAGAAATATACTGAAATTACTCGAAAATCAGTGTATTTATTCTCACGTCATGACAATAAACTTATAAGTCATAGAAGAGGGAGGAGGCGCTGATCTCGAAAATTATCGAGAGAAATGGTAATTTAAGTAATGTTAAAATGAGGCGGTAAAATGTTATCAAAATATAAAATGAGGCGCTAGAATATGTTATTAAATATAAAATGAGGCGCTAAAATACGTTTTATCAAATAGCTTCATTGATAAGCATTACATACACTCTCCTCTAACTATAATGTGATAACAGGTAAATGAGGCGCCAACGAGAGGCGCTAAAATGAGTATATGGGGAGAGGCGGCCCCATATACACACATCAATATAGATCAACAAAATTAAACTAAATTTTCCCGACACTTTATTTTCTACATTTAAACTGCTGCCGTAGTTAAAAAAACAATATTATTTGTTAAAATTTTCGATTTTAAATTTTCAACTTAAAAATGCTAAAACTTTTTGAAAAATGTATATATCAGCACAATTTTTTTTTTGCTAAATACATTATAAGTACATCTTTTATTTGACATACTTTTTATTAAAATTGGACAATTTCCCCTTATAAAGGGGGCGTTCAAAACTTGAAATATTGTAAAAAACATATATCTTTTTCAACTGAACTTTTGAAAATGTTCCGGAAATACTGCGTCCTTTAAACATATATCAAATTAAAGCTTATTTTGTGTACTATAAAAAAAAAAAAAATTTGTCCCGACGACCTATCTTCTATGCGCAAATGGCTACCGTATTCAAAAATATGCTATTTTTCTATTAAAATTTTAGGTTTTGTATTTTATTTTATTTTAAAATATCTTATTAGGAGAATATATTGACTTTCATGAATATTATGTAATTTAATTGACATAGAATAGAGTTTATAAGACATAAGAAATTAAACTTTGACACGGCCCCGCGTCGTTCTCTATACACGGAGCCCCGCGACCCGTGACACCTTTATCAGCCGCCGCCCTACTACTTGCATATGGTAGTTTGACTGACTAAAGCTATGGTTTCCTAGAAAAGCGGTGCCGTTATCTAGCGGCCGTCATTTTACGGTTGTTAATAACGGCCGTCTTTACGGTGACCAATCTGTGGTTTCCTAGGAAGTAGTGCGACCGTATTCAATCGTAGTCACTTAAAAGTCAGTACTCACTCGAGAGTAGTTGATCGCGCATTGGTGAAAAATGGACGATTTGGACATAGCGTTATTAGTATGTTTGGATGATGAAGAGTCATCAGAAGACGAAAACAATCGTTTGGAGGAGAGTGTTATGTTCAAAAATCGTGAAACTGAGGGTGCATTTCAAATTTTAGTGCGTCGCCATCTGCAGTGTAATGACGAAAAATTTAGGCAATACTTTCGCTTAACACCAGTGTTATTTGATTATGTATTGAATCACATAAGAGATGACTTAACTTCTAAACCGTATAATAGGCACAAAAAGCCCATATGCCCAGAAGAAAAGTTATGTATACTTGTCAGGTAAGTACCTACACTGAATCATATTTTATTATAAATTATACCTATAAATCTGTCACTAATGCTAGTAATACTGGTATACCAATAGTATATCGGCCAATATTATATAAAATGTTTAATAAAGTATAATAAATCAAAATATTTATATTATAATATATCGTAGTAAATTATAGCAGCCACTTTTAAGAAACGTTTTATTTGTATAAATAACAAGCGAAATAACTCTTTTTAAAAAAAACTCTAATTAAAAAACTATAAAAAATAACTATAGAAATAGTAAAATATAGAAATAACTCTAATTCTTTCAAAATAAAACTATTAAACTTTTAGTATAAAATATTTAAAATTTTTAAAAACAAAATAGAAATTTAAAATTTAAAAAAATCAAAATAAAATTACAGATGTAAAAAAAATTGGTCATTTTCTGTTAGGCTAAGGACACTTTCTGAAACACCTCTTCCATCTGTTTGTGATGACTCGTCATGTATTTGTCCTTGGTAATTTGACGTTCCACTTGTTGCTGGAGATGGCACCGTTTCTGAGTGTTTGAAGCTCATTGTTGAACTCGGGCCTGTTGATGAATCTGTCTGTCTTGAATCGCCTAAAATACTTTTTAATTCAGCATTACCGACCAATGACGAAATTTGCATCCTTCATTGCACTTGTTCATACCGAGGAAGTTTCATTACAATTTTTGCCATTGAGTTAAAGAAAAGGTCGATTTCGTCCAATTCATTAGCAGGAGTTGAGTTTCGTTCAGCTATTTGTTTCAGTAATTGTAATCGTTCTTCAGAGTGTGTTAGTTTTACCTTTTTCTTATCTCTCATAATTTTATCTTCCTTACCATCCCTTTTTCTACTATTATCTTCGTTACTATTGATGATTGTCATATTTGCTTCTCTTTCATCAATCTGGGTGATGTTTTCTTCGAGGTCAGCGTGAGAGTTTTCCATAAATTCACTCTCGTCAAACCTAACCTCATCTCCAACAACATTAGTAATTGTGTTAAGTCTTTGTGATGAAGGAAGGCTATCTAAGAATGATAGGTGAACAGACCTATTCTTTGCTGCCTCTCCACCTGAACCAGTACCAGGTTTGCCTTTCCGCCGAATATAGTAATCCCTTACATATGCCCATCGTTTACTGCAGTCAGAATCTAAAACACAAATTGTAATTTGATTACTTATTTCAGACATTTGGCCACAGGAGAATCTTTTCGGTCACTTGCTTTTCAATATCGAGTCAGTCATTCCTGGATAAGTGTCATAATAAGAGAAGTTGCTGAGGCCATTATTAAAAGGATGTTTGAGGTAACTATACCGTCACCTACGGAAAATCAACTAAGACAAAACAGTAGTCAATTTTTTTCAAAATGGAATTTCCCGAACTGTGTCGGAGCGATTGATGGGAAACATGTAAGAATAAAGGCTCCCAAACGAAGTGGATCATTATATTCTAACTATAAAGATTACTATTCAATCGTTTTGCTAGCAGTCGTTGACGCGGATTGTAAATTCACTGCTGTTGATATTGGTTCCTATGGTAGAGAGGGAGATGCTGGTATCTACCTAAAGAGTCAAATAGGGAAAATGATAAAAAATAATACATTTAATATACCAGCACCAAAAGAAATACCCGGGACAATTACTGTTGTACCCCATGTGATTGTAGGAGATGAAGCTTTTGCTCTGCACGAAAACCTGATGAAACCTTATCCAAGACAGCAATCTGTACATGATCCATCAAAAGCTGTATATAATTATCGACTATCTAGAGCTCGTAGAACAACTGAAAATACTTTCGGAATTTTATGCGGGTATTTCAGACTCTTTTTCCTACCTATTGCTACTGCTCCAGAAACAACCGACAAATTGATTACATGTGCATGCATATTACATAATATTTTACGGGGAGCAAAAGTACTTGCTCCAGGTCAAAAACATTTTGATGATGCACTACCACTACCAACCGAAAATTTAATCCCCATAACAGAACACAATGTGCGTGCCAAAATGAATCACACTCAAATTCGAGAAATATTCAAAAATTATTTCAACGGTCCAGGGGCTGTAGAGTGGCAGCATAGTTATGCAATGCGACATTAATTGTGATTATTATATAATATATTTATTGTGGTAATTAATTTTACTTTTAAAGCATCTGTTGTAAATTAATAATTAATTAATTTAATTCATAATTTTTGTATTAAAATAGTATCTGTGACAACACGTAAACGAAAACAAAAAATAACATGTGACTATTCTAAATTTTATTTAAAATAATGTTGAATAAATTAAATTAAATTTATATGAATTAAATTCATATATCCCATACGGGAGGGAGATCGAATTAACTCCCAAATCTCCCTACTCAAATAGCGTTAACTACAGACTCTACAATATGGTCCACTGTATGGGAACGCTATTTGGATCGGAGAGGAGCAGAAATGCGAGACTCTTCAACAAGGACGGGATAGTAAGTACAGCCAATATTGCAGTCTTTGTAGTTTTTTATAGAGGCGACCAACTTGACCCTGGGGTGGTGATGGGTACTGGAGATGACCATTCAGTTATTGACAAACAAAAGGCAGCAAAGGAGAAATCGGCCCAAAGAGACGGCACATCTGGACGCACTCCTTCTAATCAGTCATCGGAAGTCACTCCTGGTTATATCCTTCAAGAGATGAGTGCTGCTAATTTTAAATTGACTAAAGAAATCTTATTGCGCATGAAAGATATAACTGGAAAGTTTAAAGATTTGAGACCTGGCACCATTGGTGCATATTTGCATGATAGGTTTTTGATAAAAAGGTATTAAGTTGTTATATTAAGTTTTATTGTTATTAGTACTTTTATATGTAAAATAAAAAAAAAAAAAGTGTCACTGGATTGACGAACAGCGCGAGACTAAAAAAAATACACGGAGTGTTATCGTACTGCAGTACATCTAAGATAAAACATATAAACATATATAAACGCATTCATTGTGACATGTTATTTAACATCTTTGTTAATCCCCACAATATCAATCTAAATGACATAGTATAAAAAATTAAATATATTTAAATTTTTTTGTTTCTTTGAAGTCAAGAAAAATAACTTTAAAATTTGAACTAGCTAAATTTCCATTTTTATTAAGTGACGAATGAGACGTACGGTTTTTGAGACGGTAACACTTGGGTCTTTCACGACTGTGGTACTGAACTTTTTTTTAAATTCTTTTTGAGTTAAAAAAAAATGTTTAACTCATTTGATTTTTATCTTATTTAGATTCAATAACTTCAATAAATATCAAGGATTCCATTACTGTAGTCTCCTCTCGTGAGAAGAAATTCATATTAATATTATTATACTATGTGGTTTTTTTTTTTGTAGCTATCGTTTATTTTCTCAGCTCTCATTTGACCTGCTTTTTTAACAAATTTTTGTTATTAAATTAAACACTATCTACAGATTTGCATCGAAGCGTTTTTTATGATAGTGATTTTAATCACTGTCAGATATAATCTATACTGGACCCAACTATGCCACGACCCCACTGTGCCGCCACCCCAATGTTCTGGGTTTTTTTTGTTTAAAATTGTCTTTTAAACAACTTTTTTTACTTTTTTATTCTGATACATTAGTTATAACAAAAATATTTTTTTAAGACATGTTTATATATTGTATAAAATTAACACTTATATTATATGTTGAGTATTATAATTTCAAATAATTTTGTTAACCTTAATTTTTATTTTTCTCTAAATACTATTAAAATTCAAAAATCGCAACCCCTTCGAAAATAGGAATTTTCAAAAACTATTTCGATTATTACATAATATATTTATTGACTACTAAGACGATTTATAAAAAACTTACAGTATTTTAATTTTGTGACAATTAAAAATAATATAGTAAAAAATGCTACTTTTTCAACTTTAATAGCAATTAATACATAACCAATTACATTGAATAGGATTTTATTTTATTATACGTTTATTTATATTATATGAGTTAGTATTAACTTAAATGATTCTATTTAAAGACTTGTCAGTTTTTTTTTATAGGAAAATATCTATAAAATGTAAACGTTATTATTTCTGCTTAAGATCTAAATAGAATACAATAAATATCGCTGGTTGTTAATAATTTGGTGTTTCACGTATATCTTCCGTGCAGTATTTGTCATTAGTTGATCAGCTCTCGTAGGCGTCTGATGTCAATGTGAGTATAGTAGTAACATTTTTTGTTTGCAATTGTTATTTTCAATTCTCTTATTATAGTCTATTGAAATTTACTATGATTGATTTTTTAAGGCTGTTAATCGGAATAAAACTTGACTAAATATTCTTTTTTTTTCTTGTTCTACTAGTGTTCTTGTTTTTTAGTGTTCTGTACTTATTTTTTGTAATATTTCATATCATTAAAATATTTAATGCACAATTTTATGTAACGTATATAATTTTTCTAATTTTTTGGGAGGTTAAATTATTGGGGAACTAAGGCCTCCTGCCTTCCACCTTTCGTCAATGATGTTATATCTTTATTGTTACGACTATTTTATTTGGATGAAATATGGGCGTCATAAAAATATTTTTGGTAGTACTGAATTTCATATTTTGATATAACTATTTATACAATTTTCTAAATTTTTGGGGATGAAAATATAAAACTGTTGCCGCTGAAGACCGGTAGTTGTGCTACTGACTTTTTTTCATTGTGTGGCTTATGCTATTAATTTCAATTTTTTTTCCAGATGTCATTCACATTTTATGTTTATGCCAATGAAAAAAGTGGACTTCCTAATAGAGTGGAAGGAAATCCTCCACTTGTTGTGAGGGGAAGTAATGAAAGAGGACGTGGTGGAAGTAGACGTGATGGAAGAGAAAAAAAATTTGGAGGGTGTAAGTAAAATTAAGATTTTATTTATGAATATTTAAATTATTAAAAATTAAAAATATAAGTAAAATTATTAGTGAGGTTTCTTTATCCTTTTTTTTGGTTTTTCTGTCATATCCAGGGATTGGATTATGACAGAAAAACCAAAAAATATGGAATGATTTTTTTAATGCAGACACTCAATTTATCCTAATATATAAAAAATATAAAATTTTTTTTCTTTTCTTTTAGTTGCATACTTTTTTCAGTTTTGTAATTTTGAACTAATAATTTATAAAACTATTGTTTTTCAGCTTGTAACTTTTGCCAATTAAGAGGCCACAAGGCGGCAAATGGTTCTGCTAAAGGTAAATATCTTCTATGATAATACTGATACGACTACATATACGTGATCATATTCCATAACATTATTGTATCGCCGACTAAGCTTATAACGTTGACACAGTGACACACGTATTACTACAGGGGGACGGACTGCACATATAAACACTTTTGGAATTCACGGACACTGTGTCATAATACTAATGTTCCAAACGTCAGTTAACTTTTTAACATTGAAACCATTTCTCTATTTATATTTAACTTATATTAGCTACCATCGAAATAGTGTGTGGGTTGCCGTTAGATTATTATCATCTCTAGATGTCGTATTGTAGATTTAATAAATACTTATCGTTGCTAATCTAGAGTGTTATATATATATTTGTAGTGTGACCCTTGATAGATAGTTTAAAGGGAATATAAATTAAATAAGAAACCTCGGTACCTACGGTAGATATAGCCTAGCCAGCTAGCCTCGTTGGTCGGCAGAATACTGTTAAGAAGCATTTAGGCTCAACCCCTAAATAGCAATGTAACAATACCTTTTACTTTTTCACATTTTTTTTGTGCTATATTAATTAGAAATTAAGATTAGATTACATTTTTTTTTTCTTAAAAAATTACACATTTCTCATTCAATAAATCCAACAATATTGACTTATGTCATTTTTTTTTAATAAACATATTGCTTTAAGTAGTTTTTAAATATTGATCTAAACAAAATTTGTTAAAATAGTTTTTTGATTAAATTCATGATAAATTAAATTTCATTATTTTTTATGTTTTAACAAAGTTAAATGTTTAGATATTAATCCATTGCAATATATGAACATAATACCACAATAATAAAAAATTATAGTTTTAGGGTAAAGTGAAGATAATGTAAATGTAAATGAATAGGGTATTTGTAAATTTATTTTTTCTCTTAAAATATTTAGCAGATTTAATTTTAGATTGAAAAGTACTTGTCCTTATGTGTTTATCATATTGAATGTAAGTTTGAAATTAAAACTTCAATTGTTTACAATTATCCCACTTTACCCTTTTGTGTAAAACTGAAATCCCTGTTATTAATGAAATGTATAATTCTTCAGGTATAAGTGTTCTTGAACATTGAATAGGAGTTGTTTTCTTTTGTCTCTAAAATTGAATGTGTGTTGGCAATATTATACTAATCCAACTTAATTTTGATATGTTATAGCTCAGTATGTTGAAAAAAAAAGTAGACAGCAGCAGCTGCGACTACAACAAAAGAAAATACAACAAAAAGAACAGCCAGAAAAAGAACAGCCAGAAAAAGAACAGCCAGAAAAAGAACAACAACAATATAATATGTGAAATTTATTTAATATAATTTTTTTAATATAAAAATCTGTTTTATTAAATTTTTTTTTCTCATTTTTTAACATTCTAAACAGCTTAATTATTTGTATACAGTATCAGGGAGAGGGCCACAGTGCTCATGTCTCCCCNAGGGAGAGGGCCACAGTGCTCATGTCTCCCCATTGACGGCAATATTAATTTCTAAAATTAAGTAATAAGCAATAAAAAAAAGTCCAGCATAAGGATTTTTTTTTTTTTTGAGTTGTTTTAAATATGACTTCATTATGAAATCCTTGTTAAGGGCAAACGGATAGTGAACAAAAGTAGTAGACACAAATTAATTTCAAAACTGGCGTGGTGCCGTTTATTTCGGCAAGATAATACAAAAGTTATATAATAACGTGCACAATCACTAAGAGAATTGAACAATAAGAAAAAAAAGAAATATAGCAACAGATGCGTTGACGTTAAGAAACCAAAAAGAAAAGAAACGGTGCTATGGTTTTCGGCGTTTTTTCCTTACGATGCGTGTAGGACGGTTTCACGGAGATGACTAACATCACGTATTATTGCGGCGGGGTATTGGACGCTAGGCATTTGTTGGACTTTAAACCACGACGATAACGCGTGTGTGTAACGGTCCGGTTTACAGTGAAGCGGTGGCTGAGAAGGAGCTGATACGACTGCGGGGTGTCAACGTGTGACAACGCCGTGGCCGTGTCATCCTGCTTAAGCCACTATAGATGTTTGTTTAATATAATTAGATAAATTACACTTCTCAAAAATAATTAAATTAGGAAACGTTATATTATTTCTCATAAAAAAATTATGTTGATCCATAAACTTTTCAATAATTTATAGCATTATAAAGTTAAAAATGTAAAAAAAAAAATCGAGAATTTTCACACAATTATAGCTGACACAGGTTGATGTTGAAAGAAGAGAGTGGCGTCGAGCCGTTTATTGATTTTAAGAAACACAGGAAAACAAATAGAATACGCACAAAATGCTTAAAACTAAGTTGATTAAAACTAACAATAAAATGTAGATTATGAGGTGCCGAAGTAGCGATTCTAAACTGTTCGGTATTCGGAAAGACGATCACGTATCGATATCACAGATAGCTTGCGGTCGTGGTGTCACGGAGATAACTGACTGGACGTATTATTGCGGCGGGGTATACGACGCTAGGCATTTGTTGGACTTTACACCACGNTTGCGGCGGGGTATACGACGCTAGGCATTTGTTGGACTTTACACCACGACGATAACGCGTGTGTGTGACGGTCCGGTTTACAGTTAAGCGGTGGCTGAGAAGGAGCTGACACGACCGCGGGGTGTCAACGTGTGACAACGCCGTGGCCGTGTCAAATACCCCCCCACCAAGCCGCCGCTGTACTCTAGAAATCAAATGAAATAGCGCATATGGCGTTCCGTGTTTGGTCGAATATATTAGAGTGCGCATAGCGCCATAACAAGCCGCAATACTTACGTTGTATGTTTGATGGAGTGGGTGGTAGTGCCCCGCGGAGTGCGCGCAGCAGGGAGGGGGTTAGGGGTATAGACCCCGCGCGTAACGCGCTTGGGGTGGGAGGGAGCTCTTACTCGGCCGGGGGCTCCGGCTTAGCTGGGGAAGTGGGGCAGGAGAGGAACAGGTCCATCTCACGAACCAGGCCGTCGTCCTCTAGCTCCATAGGCGTCTCCGGCTGCTCCTCCTGTGCTGGTGTTGACGCCGCCAGCACCCCG